GAAATTAACTACCAATTAAGAAAAATAAGTCACTTGTATAATAAACATACCTACTCTCAAACACCCATTTTTACATCTGTTGCTTTCCATGTTATATATATATATATATATATAAAGTTGTAGTATGTATCCATCCTTATGGACTTTACAGTATTGTGTATATCTAGCATGTTGGTTTTGCGATAATTTCGAGGCTTGTCCAATTTGTTGCTATGGTAGTTATTTTTCAGTGTTTTGAATAAAGGCAGTACGATCGTTATGTTATTTAAGTACAGAAACGACGTTAACTATTGATTTGAGAGTAAAAATTTGAGAGTGTGTTTACAGAGGTGTTTGAGGGGGGGGGGGAACAGCTGATAATATGTTGTTGTTGAGGAAAAACTAGCACTAACTTCGGTTTTGGGGAAACGAAGAAACTTTATCAATTACAGGCCTTCCAGTGAATCCACCGGCGGGACAGCGGTAACTTTGCGGACTTACAACGCTAAAATCCGGTGTTCGATTTGGTGCGTTGGACACGAAACGTAGCCCAATGTGGCTTTACTGTAAAACAAATAAACAAAGCCTCCCGGTCAACCTACTAAAACCTGTTTTGAAAGTGGCGGTCTTGTTTTTTTGGTAAAAATGATGCCACACGAAAACGAAATAAGACAATCATTAGCCCAAAATAAAAGTAAAACATAATCTTAATATTTAATTTGCAGCTCTAAGCTGAGAGCTTGTGTCACATTTTGGTAAAAATGATGCCACACGAAAACAAAATAAGACAATCATTAGCCCAAAATAAAAGTAAAACATAATGTTCATATTTAATTTGCAACACAAGCTTGTGTCACAAATTGTGACACAAGCTCTCTAAGCTGAGAGCGTGTGTCACATTTTGGGAGGCACATAAAAACAAGTCGCGAAAATTAACAAATGCAAAAATATAACAAGTATATAAATTTGAGGCCCAGGTGGCCTGGGCCAAATGGCCCTACCTGCACATGATTCTCAGAATCATTTACCACGTGCGACCTTCCCGTGGTCTCGTGTATACATTCGTAAATTAGATCAGTAACTGAAAAGCAGAGGCCGGGTTCATAGACGCTAGATATACGATAGTATTAATCCACCCTACAGTCTATCACTGCTAAATTTGTGACGGCTAACTCAGTTAGTTACCTCTCGTGTAGCTTTGCGCAAAATTCGAAACAAGCCAATTCGTTTCACACACACACACACACACATAATGAATATAATTTTGTATATTTATCTCGTATGTTAGATATGGCTTACGTAGAATAAAACTCCCCTAGCTATGACAGTAATGTAGTGATAAACTGATTATACTATTAACAATTGTTGTATATGTGTGAGGATATTGTGTATTTTAATAAAATTCCCCTAGCTATGACAGTAGTGTAGACTACTGTCATAGCTAGGGGAGTTTTATTAAAATACAACAATATCCTCACACATATACAACAATTGTTAATAGTATAATCAGTTTATCACTACACTACTGTCATAGCTAGGGGAGTTTTATTAAAATACACAATATCCTCACACATATACAACAATTGTTAATAGTATAATCAGTTTATCAGTAGTGATAAACTGATTATACTATTAACAATTGTTGTATATGTGAGGATATTGTGTATTTTAATATAGTTACACCTACAATCCTGATGCACGATAACCATTCTAACCAGAACTACCATCGAACTTGCTAGAAATAGATACTTGCCAGCTCTTACCACAATTATTAGCTCATAATTTTCGTAATACAATTTCCGACTGAAGCCAGTGAGTTAATATGGTATGTTCACATGCTTTTTTGCTACTGATTGGTAATCATAGCCGGCAGTGTCGTCAGTTGAACCACGAATGACGTCAGACCTATAAACTATTACGTTTGTGGACAAAACCGTGTCATTTTGACTTGCTACCGGTTCGGCGATTGCAAGCAGAAACCGATTTTAGGTCGGAAGCGATATATATATATCTCCGAGTAAATAAGGATATAACTGATAGTTGTTTTGGCCTAGAAATACACAAACTTGAAGCTGTACAAGGATAACTAGATAGAAATGTGTATAGATCTTGATTGCAAATTATAGTTTTTAACACTGCACGTTTTGTAGCAAAACCAACCTGCTGTAATATAAGGTTACGTTTTAAAATAATAACCTAACAAGTATTTGAACAATCAACAAATTCGGTTACAAGTCTGTTCAAGTTGACACTCAAAGTTCACATCTTATAGATGATTAAATTCACAGGAAGTAGTACATCTAGTCTCCACTAGGTGTAAAGAAGCATAAGCAATAGGAAGTTTGGGTTTGTTTTGGAGCACAACATCTACATTATTTGATTCAGTTACCGTGAATACGAATACTTTAAATATAAACTTCTACATTATTTGATTCAGTTACCGTGAATACGAATACTTTAAATATAAACATCTACATTATTTGATTCAGTTACCGTGGATACGAATACTTTTAAATATGCTTTAATTATTTTTGCACTATTTTGCTGATGTGCTATTACTGCTTTTTTGGTAAATAAGTGGTATTTATAAGAATCAAATAATGTAAAAGTTTTTAGTATATTTCACACCTTCGTATTCACGGTAACTGAATCAAATAATGTAGAAGTTTATATTTAAAGTCTTCGTATTCACGGTAACTGAATCAAATAATGTAGAAGTTTATATTTAAAGTCTTCGTATTCACGGTAACTGAATCAAATAATGTAGATGTTTATATTTAAAGTATTCGTATTCACGGTAACTGGATCAAATAATGTAGATGTTTATATTTAAAATATTCGTATTCACGGTAACTGAATCAAACAGTGTAACAGTTTTTATTATATTTGATATCTCAGAGTCTTCATATTCGCTGTAACCGAACTGAATAGTGTAGCAGTTTTTTTCGTATATTTAAAATCTCCACGTGCACGTTTCCGTAACTAAGAGCAGATGGGATAAGTTACTCCAAATAGCGTCCTGTTCCTCATGCCTGTTTTCTTCTTCTTTTAATTCTTAAATGTAATTAAATGTGAAAAGGCTTTGGCTGGTACACACGTAAAATGTATATATCCCGAGAAGGTTGAAACTTAATGCAGCATACACTTAAGTTGAAAGTTAAAACCTAAAAACGGCCTGCTTACAATGTAAACACTGGCTAGTCTAGAACGTCTAAGATCATGCTACGTCGTACTTCGTGTATCCTTGAGAATCCAAGGGAGCTACTATTATACGCATGACTTTCAAACGCCCTCTAACAGCAGATAATTCTAATCTTCATTAATGGGCAACAAGAAAACTGTTAAATATTCGCTTACATTAATACACAAGTATTCACTCCAATATTACACAAGTATTCACTCCTCTCTTCTTTTTCTTTTTCCCTCCCCTCTTCCGAACTGCGAGTGTTTGAAATACAAGATTGAGTAGATAACACTGAAATGTTAAATAAATCTCTTGATTAAATGATACCACTCTTGATACTGGAATGTTATTTTGACAGCTTTGTTAGAAAGTATGTCATGAAATACTATACTTCTTGTTATTAATTCACAGTTTCGTCATCTGCCCGGTTTCGATTCGTAAAGCTAGGGATTATAATTGAGCGTTTTCACTCATTATCTCTCAAATTACTCACTTTTTATATCTTTCACTTCCTGATTGTTTCCTGTTGAGTAATTTTATATTTTTGCCTTTTAAAATAACCAGCTCAGTGTAAATACTGGCTAGAAACTCCTGTGAAAGTACTCTTTTTATTATTTAAATACCTAAGGAGTCCAGCAATAATTAGTGGGATCAGCTACAATATTGTTTTTTTTTCGTTGTTGTTGTTGTTTTTTGTGTGTGTGACTCTTACATTATCAGGAATCCTTTGATAAACAAATTAAAGGACCCACAAGCAATTTGTTACATAAATAGTTTAGTAAAAATATGGTTTAAACTGGAACCATATTTATTTGACACGTTTCAAAATCTGTCGATTCCAACCCGTTTTTTTATGCCACGTTTATTGTAAGTAGTGTGTTTTAAGAACATGTGATTTTAAACAGGGCTTAGATTATAATTTTGTTTGTTTTAAGTTAAGCATAAAGCTACACAATGGGCTATCTCTGCTCTGCCCCCCCCCCCATGGGTATCGAAACCCGGTTTTTAGCGACGTAAGTCCGCAGACATACCGCTGTGCCACTGGGGGGCAAGTTTATAATTAAACAGTACGACAATCAAACAGATGGTCAGTTAAAAGAGACGTGATCTGTGAATTATATTTTGAAGTAGTTAGTGTTAGGCTCGAGCGTGTATGGGGGTGAAAGCCTTCCACCCGCTATTTTTTTGAGGAAACTTCATTTTTGATACCCCTATCTGCACTGTTATCCTCTCGAAGAGTAGTTTTCGAGGGTTTGAATTTTGGTATTTAATCTCTGTGTTGGGTAACCTTATATAGTATAAACCCTGAAAGTAGTTATTTTTGTGGAAGGCGTGATGGTGGATGGAATGCTAGTTCGCCCCAGCTGTTCTAATGACGAAAAATATACTTACGAATTTTGGAAAGAAATAAAATGAGATTTACGATTCGTATAGAATGTTGTCATTAGTTTGATAATTAAACAATTTCCTCGTTTATTTAGTTATATTTTTTAAGATACAGTGAAATATTTCGTACTAGTTTTATGTTTAACCTTCCACTAAGAACTCATTGTTAAATGCAGAAAGTGGCTTCTCTGCATAAATTCGGTGATAAAAATGACCATACTATTCATAGCTTATAAAGAAACATCACCGAAAAAAACAAAACAATATGTTGTGATTTTACCTTACAGTCTAACTACCATACGACAGCAAGAAAACTATCCTTTTAAAAATAACGTAGTTACTCTGATCTGTAAACCTTACACAGTATATTGTGGTGTTTAGTTCCATCTATTATATATATATATATATATATATATCATTTCTATAACATCGGTTTTTTTTTTTCAAACAGTGGCGTTAATGAAGGTGAAAGGTCCTGGAAAAAGGTGACTACGGGAGAAACAAATATTACGAGATTCGAGTAAAAAAGGAATTTAAGGTATGATACAAAAACATATACTATAATAACAGGTTTCGTAGGGACTGGCTACCAGTAACGGGTTTCGTAGGGACTGGCTACCAATAACGGGTTTCGCAGGGATTAACTACCAGTAACGGGTTTCGCAGGGATTAACTACCAGTAACGGGTTTCGTAGGGATTAACTACCAGTAACGGGTTTCGCAGGGATTGGCTACCAGTAACAGTTTCGCAGGGATTGGCTACCAGTAACAGTTTCGCAGGGACTGGCTACCAATAACGGGTTTCGCAGGAATTAGCTACCAATAACGGGTTTCGCAGGAATTAGCTACCAGTAACCGGTTTCGCAGGGATTAGCTGACAAAAAGTGTTATTTTAGAAACGAAGTTGTTAGTTTTTGTTTTATTAAAATTATATTTGCTGATGTAACACTTGCATAATATTTACGCGATTGTTTGTTTATAAAAGTGTAGTAACTTATGAATGTGTGTGTGGGGGGGATTTCTATTATAAACTTTTATAACAATGTTATTATATTAGACCATAATTTTAACGGGCTAGCCTCAACAAATATTCCCTTAAGGTAAGAAAATTGTTTCTAAGTAGCAGTCTTGGTAAATTTATTTTGAAAAAATACTCTTCTATTTGGAGTAAAAAGGACCCAACTTCAGGTTTTAAAAAAAACAACCTTTATATTCCAGATATATATAAAATAATTTTTTAAAACTTTAACCAACGTTTTGCCTTTGCGGCTTCATCAGGGTTAATATACACAACTGTTTGATATTTGATATTACCATTCTAATATCAAATAATTATGTATATTAACCCTGATGAAGCCGCAAAAGCGAAACGTTGGTTAAAATTTATAAAACATTCTCATATATATATATCTGGAGTATAAAGATCGTTTTTTCCTAAACTTTTTATCCAAATATGTAAATCCCTCCAGTATGCACTACAAATTTCGAGAGACAACAACAACTTTTCAGCAATCGATTCAACTTCAAGCTTATAAATCTCTGCGTTACATAACTGGCCAGGAAATATTTAAATATTCAATTGTGTATAAAATACAAGTGTACAGCTATTAATATAATATTCGTGTTAAGACAGGTTAAAAATTATCAAAAATTACATTTACCCACTGTAAATAATTTGTTAATACACTTAAAATATACAGAAATGCATCTCCAGGATATACTGCCACCTAGTGGTTGTATGTTAATTACGTAACTTTATATTAATTATTACCACCAAAGTGTTACTTAGGCATATATGGTTTTACTCGTATATCAGCAGACTATAGATGATGTACAGATATTTCAGGAACATACAAAGCATGCTCTTTATCGTGACTTCCTCCCCCCTTTCACGAAGCGTACGAAGAAAATGGCAAAGTTTTCTATCTCTCTTTTTTTTTCTTTTTAAGAGATCCTCTCGGACGTTGGTTATTTCAAAAATAGAGCACTGAGAAACAGAACAAGAGGGAATCCTCAATATCCGCGGCACTTGAAATTCTTTTAGGCAGGATTAGAGTAAATTTATCTATGAGGCTTTTGTTTCCCTTTTTATTAGCTATATTTTTGTGCGCCAGCAATACCAAGTGTGGGGCGCGCGTATACCCGATTCAATTTTATTACTCATCAGGATCTCTGTCAGCCTACCCTCAAACTGAAATGCTTTTAGGCAGTATTACAGTAAATAAATCTATGAGACCTTGGACGTGGTCAAATACACCAATCGAAAGGGTTTGACCGCCTGAGTCTTAAACTGTAATTATATCTCAAATCGGTCGTGAGATGATGGATCTATGAGCTAAAAGTTTGTATTTGTAAAAAAGCAACAACAACACACACACACACACACACACACACACACACAAA